ATGCACACTGGGGTTATTCCTGGAAGCTCACCTAGAGTCTGTTTCTTTGGACTTTATAATGATTCTTTAATCTCTTTATCTCTTAATGAATTCCTTTCTGCTTAAAGTAACCAGAGTAAATTCATTGACTTTAACTGAAGAACTCTGATAAATTTTAAAAAAAGAAAACTGAACCAGAAGTGCAAACAACAGACTTCAAAGACATGGAAGTCTTAGCTTGGCTATCTGACATGGTTGGTTTGAAGTGAGTGTTTGGGTATCATTAAGTGATGGGGCATTAGTAATCCATGGTATACAAGGTGGTAAAACAGTTACTTAAATGATTACCTGTAGTTATTTGGAGTAAAGAATCTACTGAAGCCAAGATTTTGGCTTCCCTTTTTTTTTTTTTTTCTTTTGGTGGCTGGCCAGTATAGGAATTTGAACCCTTCACCTTGGTGTTATCAGCACCACACTCTGACCAGATGAGCTTTGGCTTCCCTTTTGATTGCTGCAATACACAATCACATGGGGCTAAGGAACACAAGAAATGTGGGTTAGAATAGCCGACTCTATGAGCATCTGTAAGCTTTTAAAAAGAAAAAGGCTAAATAATTTAAATTCTCAGATCAAGGGATTATTAGAGAAACAGGGACTTTCTTTTATTTATTTATTTTTTTTTTCTCCTTTTTGTCTTTTTCCATGTCCGGCAACAGATTGCAACCCTCAGTGTTGCCCCCGTACCGGACCGGGGACCGGCAACGGGATCGCAACCCTCGGTGTTGCTCCCGCGCCTCGCTCAGCCAGTGAGCGGGAACCGGTCTGTATGTGGGATCCGAACCCTCAGGCGGGAGCGCCGCCGCGCTTCCCAAGCGGCGCACTTATCCAGTGCGCCACCGGACCTGCCCTGCTTCTACCTATTACCTATTATGAATAATGCCACAGTGAAATTAAGGGTGAAGTTATGTCTTCAAGATCCTGCTTTCAATTTTTTTGGATATATACCGAGAAGTGGGATTAGTGGGTCATATGGTAGTTCTATTTTTAATTTTCTGAGGAACCTCCACATTGTTTTCCATAGTGGCTGCACCATTTTATATTCCCACCAACAGTGCACAAGAGTTCCAATTTCTCTATATCCTGTCAAATACTTGTTATTTTCTATTTTTTTAATAGTAGCTATCCTAATGGGTATGAGACGATATCCCACTGCAGTTTTAATTTGCATTTCTCTAATCATTAGTGATGTTGAGCATCTTTTCATATGCTTGTTGGCATTTGAAACCTTCTTTGGAGAAATCTCTTTTCTAGTCCTTTGCCCAGTTTTTAACTGGGCAAATTTGATTCTTTTTGTTGTTGAGTTGTAACAGTTCTTTATATGTTCTATATATCAACCCCTTACCAGATTATAATTTGCAAATATTTTCTCTCATTCTGCAGGCTGCCTTTCCACTCTGCTTATGGTGTCTTTTGATGCACAGAAGCTGTTTAAGTCTGATGCAGTCCCATTTATCGACTGTTGCTTTTGTTGCCTGTTTCAGTGTCATCCACAAAATCTATGCTAAATCCAATGTTATAAAGCTTTCCCTTATGTTTTCTTCTAGGAGTTTTATAGTTCTAGGTCTTAAGTTTAGGTCTTTAACCATTTTGAGTTAATTTCTTTTTATGGAGTAAGGTAAGTGTCCAGCTTTATTTTTTGCATGTAGATATCTTCTTTTCCCATTATCATTTGTTGAAGAGACAGCCCTTTCCCCACTGTGTGATCTTGGCACCCTTGTCGAAGATCATTTGACCATATATATGAGCCTTTATTTCTGGGCTCTCTGTTCTGTTCCATTGGTCTACGTATGTCTTTATGCCAGTACCACAACATTTTGATTACAGTCAGCCCTCTGTATCCATGGGTTCCACATCTGCAGATTCAACCAACCGTGGATCGAAAATATTCAAAAATAAATAAATAACAATACAGCAATAAAAAATAATAAAAATTTTAAAATACAGCCATTTGCATAGTATTTACATTGCATTAGGTATTATAAGTAATCTAGAGATGATTTAAAGTATGCATGAGAATGTGCATAGATTATATGCAAATACTATGCCATTTTATATAAGGGACTTGAGCATCTGTGGACTTTGGTATCCGCAGGGGTCCTGGAACTAATCTCTCTCAGATACTAGAAAATGACTGTACTGTAGCTTTGGAAATCAAGAAGTGTGAGGCCTCCAACTTTGCTCTACTTTTCCAAGATTATTTTGGTTATTTGGGGTACCATAAGATTCCACATGAATTTTAGGATTTTTTTTTTTTCTACAAAAAATGCCATTGGGATTTTCATAGGGATTACATTGACTCTGTAGATCTCTTTGAGTAACATGGACATTTAAACAATATTAAGTCTTTCAATCTATGAATACAGGATGACTTTCCATTAATGTATGTCTTTCATTGCTTTCAGCATTTTTTTTGTAGCTTTCAGTACACAAGTCTTTTGCATCCTTGGTTATGTTTATTCCTAAGTATTTTATTCTTTTTGGTGCTATTGTAAAAAAGTTTCTTAATTTCCTTTTTGGATTGCTTGTTGTTAGTATATAGAAATGCAACTGATTTGTATATGTTGATTTTATATTCTGGAACTTGATAAATTTTTTCTAACAATTTTTTCATAGAATCTTGGGGTTGTCTACATATAAGATCATGTCAACTTCATGATAATTTTATTTCTTCCCTTCTGATTTAGATGTCTCTCATTTCTTTTTTTTTTTTGACTAATTTCTGTGGCTAGGACTTCCAATAGTATTTTGAACAGAAGTAGTAAGAGTGGACACCCTTGCCTTGTTCATAATCTTAGAGAAAATATTTTCAGTTTTTCACCACTGGGTATGATGTTACCTATGGGCTTTTCACATATGGACTTTGTTATGTTGAGGTAGTTTCCTTCTATTCTAGTGTGTTGAGTGTTTTTTATCATGAAAGAATGTTGAATTTTATTAAATATTTTTCTGTATCAATTGAGATGATCATACAGTTTTTGTCCTTAATTCCATTAATGTGGTGCATTACATTGATTATTATTCTTATGTACAACCATCCTTGCACTCCAGGAGTAAATAAATCTCACTTGGTCATGGTGTACAATTTTTCAATGTGCTATTAAATTTGGTTAGCTAGTATTTTACTGAGGGTTTTTGCATCAATTTTCATCAGGGATACTGGTCTGTACTTTTCTTAATTTCCTTTTTGGATTGCTTGTTCTTAGTATACAAAAATGCAACTGATTTTTACATGTTGATTTTATATCCTGCAATCACCACCTTCCCCACAATTCACTAGAGGCAGTGTCCTCAGCTGGAAGTTAGGTGGAAAGGTAATAAAGTGGTGGTTAGTACAGTTTCTCCTTCTGCAACCCCTCCCTGCATTTCTGCCATGCTAAACTGTATCTCCACAAAGAACTCTGCTGCTTCTCCCTGATACAACTGCTCACACCCCTAGACCTAAACAAAGGATCACTGAATGGTTTCAGGACTGTCACAGGAACTTTTAAGGAAACCTGCATTGTTTGAGGCCTCCAGGAGTCTGTGCGTCTCTTAGTGCCTTCTCTCTGTTGGTCCAGGGAGCATAGGATTTAGTAAGTATTTTTTAGAGTATACGGTCTCGGGATGTTGCTATTTCTTTGTTATAGAGACGAAGGAGTTTTTCCTTGCTTCATTTTGTTGTCATTGTTGTTTTCATGGGTTTGAGAGAAGGAGTGGAATTAAAAAAAAAAAAAAAAAAGACTTTACCCTGTCACGAATCTCTTCCTTTCATCTTAAACAATTCACAAATTCTTAGGATCTATCCCAGGCATCCCATCAAAGCTAGTTTTGCAACAAGTACTCAGGCAAGGGTCATCAATTGGTTTGGCTAAAACCATAAGGTGAAAAGTAGATAGGAACCTGGATATTATCTGATGCCACTCTGTCACCCACTGATTACCTGGTGGTAGTAGAGGGGAAAGAAATAACTTGTCAGTATGTAATATGGCTGTCACCATGTTAATCCAGTAATCACTCTGAGAATCTCTAATATTAGATAATCAGATTCTACGTGCCTTCTGATGTGAAGTACTATGAAGTACACAGGACCAGTTAAGCAGTATTCTTGCCTAAAATGTTTAACCAGAATCTAATCAAGTCTTTATATCCAACTTCCAGTTTATAGGAAATATTGAGGTTAGATGAATAATTCAGACAAAGGAAAAAACAAATCCAGAAGGGACGACATTCTATATGAAATCTGGCAGGGCTGGCCACTTAGCTCAGTTGGTTAGAGCACGGTGTTATAACACCAAGGTCAAGGGTTCAAATCCCTGTCCCAGCCAGCAGCCAAAAAAAAAACAAAAACAAAAAACAAAAAAGTAGTGGAAATCTGGACAAGCCTTTTCAAGAAATAAATCTCTACAATTCTTATTTGTCAATTAAAATAAATAAATAAGATGAAAAAAATGAGTGAAAAAAAGAGGGGAAGACTAGGGTGGAGACTATTCCAGATTAAGAGATAATTATGAGCCACAACATGTCGGGTTTATGGTTGGGTCCCACTTTGAACAACCAAGCATGAAAATATTTTCAGAACAATCTGAGAAATGTGAATTTAGCCTGGGAATTAGATACTAAGGAAATATTGTTATTTTTATTAGATATGATAACAGCATTGTGGCTAAGTAAAAAAAAAAGTCATTTTTAGAGTTGTATACTTGGGTAATTTGAGGTGAAATATAATAAATGTCAGTAACTCACTTGAAAATTCTTCAGTGATGAAAAAATAGGTATATAACTATATCAAAATTTTAACAATTGTTAAGTCTAGATTTCAATTGTGTGGACTCACACAGATGAGTCTAAAGAGCAGGCAAGTCTGGGAAACATGACACAGCTCATTATTAATCTACTTCAAACATTTGTATTATACTTGGAATATTTAGAAATCCTGGAACTAAAATATTTATTATACATAAAATTTATTAATTTATAAACAGCAAAGTTATTGCCAAAATATACTATGTATTTTAAAAATTAAAAAATAAAAACTGACATAACATTACCATCGTCTGAGGTCTAATACTTTCCGCTGCTTAATATCTTCAAGAGGAGAATGCTGAAGACACTCTCTCTGATGTCTTCCTTTTTTATCTGAAGTTTTTTTCTTGGAAATTTGTTTCTTTGCATTGCCTAGAAAACAAGAGTATAAAAGAAGCATAACAATTAAGATGAAAGTAAACTGCCATGACAAAAATTAATTACATACCAAATTAAAAAGTAACTTCCACTAGTTGTAAAAATGATATTTGCAAACGTATTGAAGTAATACATCTATTTTCAGGAACAGTCCCCTACTTTAAAGAGAAAGAGAGAGGGATAAAAACAAATTAAAACAACCATTAATGCTATTTCCTAACAAGTTCTAATATTCCATTCCAGAGCTAGTCACTTAGCTGGTAAAACAATCAATCACAAAATCTTTAGCCACATTTAACAAATCAAATGACCAATAGTAAAATATTTAACTAGACCATTTTCCAGGAAATGAATCCTTTCTATAAAACAATAAAACCACATTAATGCAACTCTGCTAAAAAAGTAAAAGCACTGGATCCAATAATGTGATGTTTAAAAATATCTCCAGGCCTACGGAGACCGCAAAATGGATTAAGAACGTGCACACATATACATTATTAAAATGTAACTTTAGCAGCAGGTACTGGAATGGAAAACAAAGCCTCCTCTCTGTGTGCATGTATGTATGTACACACACTAATACACAAGAGCACACATGCACACGTGCACAGGTGTGCGCACACACGCATACACACACACATTTTCCAAAAGATCCTCAAGACAAACAACAGTGCTTACGTACTGGTGAGGGGGGACTTGAGAGCTGGACAACAGGGGGACAAAAGTGAGAGTGAGAATTTGCACTGTTCAAATTTTATACTTTTTATTTCTTAACAATGCTAATGAATGATCTAGTCAAAAAATTACATAAATTAAAATATTAATAAGTAACATCCGAGCCTTATTTCATTAAAATACTATTAACATTTCAGATAGCTGTGCTCAAATACTTTAATATCTTTCAAACATACTCTATTCTAAATGAAATAAATCTGTTATAAAAATTAACAGAAAGCTAATATTTTATTTTTATGTTATGCATAAATTATAAAGCACAGATTATATAGATATATGCTTAGTAAATAAACATGGAAAGAGATCCACTTTATTCATTCAGGATGCCCTATGATGAAACCATCTGGCACTCAAAATCAGCTGAAACTCAGGAATTATTGCTACCCAGGGAATTTCTGTAAAATGTTATGATAATGACTATAAAATCAAAAAGCGATTTTTCCTCTTCCTTTGGTTAGTCTTTTAAGTTTTCACAGAGAACAACAAATTTTTCCCAGAGCTGAACAACCACTGGCAAACCTGAGCAATATCTCATTGTGCCAAATTTCCTTCACTGGTAAAATGAAACACAGAGAGAAAAACAGGAAAACTACTTTCCAACATTTCTTGAGATGTCCTTCCTGTCTCATAATTACTTAATTCCCTAAGCAGTGTTCTTAGCCACTTAAAACTTTAAGGCTAATTGAACATTGGGACTGGATAGTTAGCTCAGGTGGTAAAGAGCAGTCAAGGGTTTGGATCCCCCTACCAGCCAGCCCCCACAAAAAAAAGAAAGAAAAGAAAAGAAAAAGAAAGAAACATTAAAATCTGTAACCTCAATAGGCCCACAGAGTGGTCTGTACTCTCCTCTGAAAGGTACGTGAGCCTGCTCTCTATCTCTTTTTGATTACTTCTATGACTCCCCCTGGGATAAATGAGCATATATGTTCCAAATAAGCATATTTCAAAAAATCCCCACACTGCCACAAAGAGATCTGGTCCCACAGGCAAAATTTCATTCAATTTGAGGGAAGGAAGCTATGTTAAAGCAGAAGTTAAGCTGGAGATGGGAACATAAAAGAGCAGCAGCACCTGAACACTGCTTTCTTCCAGTCACACTAAGTGCAGTGACCTTTGCTCACTGCCTTCTATCATTACCATATTCCTTCTTCCATTCCTCACCCTACCCACAACACACCCACATAGCCCCAACACCAAAAATACACATGCACTGCAAAACGATGTTTCGGTCAACAATGCACTGCATATAGGATGGTGGTCCCATAAGATTATAATGGCTATACCATGTAACGTAGGTGTGTAGCAGATTATACCACCTAGGATTGTATAATAACTGCATTAGAAGATAGATTAAATGATCTTGTAAAAAATGAAAATCACCAATGATGCGTTTCTCAGAACTTATCCCTGTTGATAAGTGACACATGACTGTATATACCTACATATATGTACGTATGTATTCACCACAATGGCTTTTAAAGAAAGGTATGAGGACAGTACATAAAAGTAGAAAAATCCACCATCATTTTTACTTGAAGAACCACTGGACAGAGTTCACTGGAAAGTGAGAAAGGAAGGACCCCAGAAAAAGAAAGAGCCACAGAGAAAAGGGGATGCCCAAATTCTTTGCATAAATTTGACTCAAATCTTAGGCTGACCCCTAAACCATGCATGCACACAGCAGACCCCAAGCAACACAGCTAAGGCTAAAAGAATTGAACTAAGATTGGAGCTGTCCCCAAGAGACAGAATTTTGTACTTTTGTTCAACTAAATTAACTGCCTGTCAACGAAAAAAAAAAAAAAATCAGTCACCACAATATAATAGTACCACTATTTAGGATACAATCCAAAATTATTGAACATGTAAGGAAACCAAAAAACACGATACATACTCAACAAAAAAGATAAGGCCAACTCTGAGATGACCCAGATATTGAAATTTAAAGAAAAGGATTTTAAAGTAGGTATAATAACTGCATTATAAGATAGATAAAATGCTCTTGTAAAAAATAAAAAGATAGCAAATCTCAAGAGAGAAACAGAAACTATGAAAAAAATATAAATTCTACATGGTGTTGATAACACCAAGATCCAAGGTTTGATCCCTATACCAGCCTGCTGCCCAAAAAATAAATAAATAAAATAAATATATATATAATGGATATAGATATACATATCTCTCTATATATACACACATATATATTCTAAAACTAAAACTATTGGATCAGAAAAGATATACTATGCAAACACTAATCAAAAGAAAGCTGGAGTAGCTATATTAATGTCAAAGTAGTTTTCAGAACAAGAAGTATTGCCAGGAATAATGAAGGACATTTCATGATAAAAGGCTCACTTCATGAAGATGTAAAAAATCATAAATGTGTGTGTACCAAATAACAGAGTTTCACATTACATTTTCAGAAAAATTAACAGAACTAAATGAAAAGAAGGAAGCACCAGGAATATGTCTCCTCACCTAGACAACAATTACACTGGCAGAATATTTCTGATGTAATTATTTTGGAACTCCAGGGTCTACTCAAAGGCTTGTAACTTACAGGGGAAGGCTTAAACAGTAAATTGTGGTTAATTTCGGTCAATTTAAGCTCATAGCAAGGTGGCAGCTACTCGTCCTTCAGACCAGTGGCAGGTAACTATGCACATGTTGTCCAGCAGCTTGCAGGCAGCTTGCGAGAGCCAGGATGGGCAAAGAGGACCATGTCCTACAAAAAATGGGGATGTGTTCTGACTGCTGACTGCTGCTTCTGATCTTGAAGGGGCAGATACATGTGGGGACAGCCATCGTTGTACCCCTCCCACTGTTGCAACCCACCCACACCACCCCCAGATGAAGCAACTTCCAGGAAATTTAAAGAACTGGCACCCTTTTGGTTTTTAGTTTTTTCTTTTTTCCCTTTTGGGAACCAGACATTTAAAATCTAGGACACTCAAAAGCAACCACATATATGAGGATATTTAGAAAGTCACTGTGCACACCCAGGGAAAGGCACAGACTTAAAAAAAGACCTGAAAAGCTCTTAAGTTCACACCTCAGGCTGATAACCAGAACAGACACAACCTATAGCAATCAAAACACAAAAATGAAAACAAAAATCAACAAACCCCAGGGAAGGGAAGAATCTGAATTCCAGAGCTACTACATAATTAGATTACATTTGAATGTCCTGTTTTCAGCAAAAAAGCAAAAGGCCTACAAAGAAACAGGGAAGTATGGCCCATTCAAAGAAAAATAATAATAAACCAAGATAAACTACCCCAAAGAAAGACTAGATGGCAGACTTAAAAACAACTGTCTTAAAGATGCATAAAGAATGAAAGGAAGATGTATTATGTATGAACACAATGGAAATATCAATAAGGATACAGAAATCCTAAAAAGAAACCAAAAATAAATTCTTAAGGTGAAAAATGCAATAACTGAAATGAAAAATTCACTAGAGGAATTTAAAGGCAGATCTGAGCAGGCAGAAGAAAGAATTAGTAAACTTGAAGATAGGACAAATGAAATTACTGAGTCTAAAAAACAGAAAGAAAAAAGACTGAAGAAAAGTGAACAGAGCCTAAGGGACATGTGGGGCACCATCCAGAGGACCAACCTATGCATTGTGGGAGTTCCTGAAAGAGAAGAGAGAAAGGGGTAGAGAGAATATTCAAAGAAAGAATGGCCTAAAACTTCCCAAATTAGATAAAAGACATAAATATAAACACACAAGAAGCTCAACAAACTCCAAGTAGAATGAACTCACGGAGACCCACACCAAGACACACTATCATCAGACTGTAGAAAGCCAAAGACAAAGGATCTTGAGAGCAGCAAGAGAGAAGTGATTCATCACATACGAGCGATCCTCAATAAGAAGATCAACAGATTTCTCATCAGACACTTTGGAGGCCAGAAGGCAGTGGTCTGATATACTCACAGTGCTGAAAGAAAAAAAAAAAGTCAACCAAGAGTCCTATATCAGGCAAATTGTCGTTCAAAAGTGAAGGGTAAATTAAGACATTCCCAGACAAACAAAAGCGAAGAGACTTCATTACCACCAAACCTGCCCTGTAAGAAATGATAAAAGGATTCTTGCAGGTTGAAATGAAAAGACACTAGACAGCAACTTGAAGCTACATGAAGAAATAAACATCTCAATAAAGGCCTATACATGGGCAATTTATAAAAGCTAATATTATTGTAACTTCAGTTTGTAACTCCAAATTTTGTTTTGTACATTATTTAAGAGATTCATGAATAAAAAATTATTAGTTTATGTTTTTGAACACACAGTATATAAAGATATAATTGTGTAACATCTACAACTGAAAGAAGGTAAGGATGGAGCTGCATAGAAACAGAGTTTTTTGTTTTTTATTGAACTTAAGCTGGCATAAATTCTTTTTTTTTTTTTTTTTTTTTTGTCTTTTTCCGTGTCCGGCAACGGATCGCAACCCTCAGTGTTGCCCCCGCACCGGACCGGGGACCGGCAACGGGACCGCAACCCTCGGTGTTGCTCCCGCGCCTCG